CGACAATGACCTTGAAGAAAGTGTGGTCTTCTCTGTAGAGCCTCTCCAGATCCATATAAAACGCTTCCAACTCCTCTTCTTCGTAGCTCGATGTTGGTGCCTAAGCAACGAAGATGGTCAGAGCTGGGATTGAGCCACATCTTCTTAATCGCAAACGTCCGATTCGGATTGTTAAGCTGTCGTACGAATCGATGTTCATGGCCAAGTGCGTATTGACGAGGACACCTACACCGCCGACGCCTCTACTGTCGCATGTTTCAAGGAACAGTTCTTCTCCAGTCTCAAATACAGCGTGCAGCGGGCGATGCCTTCTCGTCTCGGTCAGTCCGATGACGTCGTACTTGATCTTCCTAGTTTGCATCATAAGGTCTTCTATACGCCTTCTATGTATTTAATTGTGCATAGGTCTTCTATGCACAATTACATGTAAAAAACATTAGGGCAAAATATTGTTTTGTATCATTTCACTAGCATCACCTGTAGATGTGACAGGCTCTTCATAGAAATGGGCAGCGCATTCTTTCATCGAATGACTGCTAACACAAAAGTCAGGTGAGGGGGGTTTAGGGTAAGTAGAAAATGGTTACTTTTGCTCCCAGCGTCAATCCAGGGCCCATTGCTTTTGTCAGTCGTCTAGCTCCACGGCGATGTCTTCCATGGAGGCCTGTGCTACGGAGCCAACTCCTGGCCAGGCATTAGCTTGATATCATTCACAGTGGACAATCCTTTCAACAATACATAGTTGAATCTCGTTTGTCTCTCTCCAATGATGGGTCTCTCATTTCGCAAAAAAAAGATAGAAACTAATGGTAGAAACTAATGGGTCGTAGGCTATAGCCAGACTGGTTGATCTCCGTACGGTCTGACTCTGTTCAGAAGAATCTTAGTAAACAGCGTGTACGGCTGCGAAAGAGGCCCAATTGGACTGGTGATTGGTAGTTTTCATTCGATCGTGCTTTCTTTTCTCAAGCAGAAGTACCGTATTTGACATCTTCCACTAGTCCAGAATCCTTTAAGCGTCCAGGTACTCGTTAAAGCTTTTGGTGAGCTGCTTGATGATGGTGTGGGACGTCGAACTCAAGAAGTTCGCTGAAATGCGGTCCGGTCCAGGTGCCTTTCTCGGCTTCATTTGACGTATGACGCCTTCACCTCCCATTCCTCTATTCTCGGAGCCACCTCTTGTGTTGGCGTACGGGAAACCGGTACCGTCGAGCGGTAGAGGGTTGGTAGTAGCTGACGGCAATCTCCCGACCTTCGTTCTCGTCGGTTCTGTCTGCAGTCTGCACACCGCGTCCATCATAACGGTGATGGTCGAGCGAAAATCATCAAGGTACTTACGACATCGCTTGAAGCTCGCTCTCGCCTTTGCTACTTCTTTCACCCTTTGTATCGCTGTATCGACTCCATCACAGCGATGCGGCACGCTTCATCCATCGAAACACGCTCCAGAAGTGTAGATGCAGAGTTACGGTAAACGGCAACCCGTTGTTGCAAGAGTGTGCGAGCATTTCCATCGATACTGCTCCTAGAGTTTATCCTTGCTGGCACAGCCGATGCCGTTGCGCAGTACAGAAGTTCTTTTACAAGCAAGTCGTAATCTTGTGGCAAGTCCTGTGCTTCCTGCCACGTGTACTGAGCATCGGCCACCTTCATGACGCTTGTTTCATACCGCGGTAGTCGTATGGGAAAAGCCCGGAAGTGATCACGTCTTTGAACTTTTGCTCGTAGGCGGACTTTGGCTTTGACGAGCCTATGGTCGCTTCCGGTGCGGACCGCATTTACCACACTGACGTCTAGCAGACTCCACTTTCTGTTGGTGAGAACATGGTCGATTTCGCTGCGAGTCGCTGCTGGGGACTTCCATGTCTTTTTTCACGAAGAAGCTGATTCCGTGGAGTAGGTTGCATGCCTCTAGAAGGTATATCAACTGCTCTCGTTTTCGTTCGTTTCTTCGATTCCATGTGGTCCAGTGCGTGCTGTCGCCAGTCTCTCCTTGTGGATGATTGCATTGAAATCCCCAACAACAGTACTCGTGATATGAACGCTCGTTCTTTGTAACCTCCTCCAGTTCCTATAAAAAGCGTCCTTTTCACCGCCGGTTGCTGTCGACGTTCGCGCATAGCAGTTAATAATGCTGAAGGTGGTGTGGTTGTCGACGCGTAGGCGAAGAATGGCTAGTCGCGGGTCGAGGACCTTGGTTG